TTGTAGCTAATATAAACAGCTTTTAATGATACAAAAAAAAGGTACTGCTTGCTCTTTCCGTTGAAGAGATCAAAGATCCACACTAGACATACCTAACACTCTATAGATGATTTTTTGAGGGTCATATTTCGGCTATTAAGTCGAAACGACAAAAGCAAAAAAGTTAATATTTATGGCAATGTTAAAGACCAATATGATCTACTATGCAGTTGAAGTAAGAATAATTTTTTTTATTGTTTTCATATGAATAGGAGTACTATATCGATCTTGTTCAAACTTGTTATTCATCTGTGGAAAAATAGTGGATCTTGCCACCAAAAATGCTTATGTGAACGTGATCTTTCATTTAACATAAGACAGCAGTGATCCCAGTGAAAAAAGCCCTATGGGTCGATTTACAACCAAATACGCACTTTCTTTTAAACTTATCAAATTGTTTGGAAAGAAATTTCTTTAGAATATTTTTATAATTAATTAAAATAGTTAAACTTGTAAATATTATTAAAGATTGACATTTAGGAAAGAGAAGAAATGAATACTTTTTTTTAATAATTTATTTAATAAATAATATTTTATTAAAGCATACTTTTTATTAAATGCATTTATTTGATTAAAAGAATTTTTTATGTAAATATCTATTGTTTTTTGTTATATAAATGTTGATGAACCATATATGAATGGTTTATATAACCAGAATAAAATTCATTTTGGAAAATAAAATCAATATGTTTTTAATGATTAATCATTCGAATATTCAATTTCAGAATTTATAATAAACTCGGCAGAATTCTATACTTCATTATTTATTAGTGTAAATCAGTCATATCTATGTGAACCAGATGGCAAATGTACACTGATATTTTATATGAATATTGTTACAGTAGAATTAATTAATTTAAATGTTGATCGATCAATTATGATTCAGGTTATAGCATAAATATACGAACGAGATAGAGATTTATCGAGAAGAGCAAGAAATCGATTGAATTGATCAATTGAAAATAAACCTAATGAATTACCTAAAAAGAAAATAAATGATTTCGGGATGTTCTTTCGAGAACCTCTTCACTGGCTCAAGAAAAAGAGGGTCTGATGATTTAAATCCTACGAAAATTGCTTATCAACTTTAGAGATGTGAAATTTACATTCCCAATCTCTTTTTTTTTAATGAAGGATATTGTTTAATGCATGTTAAAACATTTTCATATCTTAGATATGAAGCCTAATATCCGAGCTTCTCATGGAACTTTTCTTAATCATATATTGATCAACACACTCTCTTGATTAGAATCTTATTAAACACGAGCAGCAGATGGTTATTGTTACTCTTCAACATTAAATCTTTCATAAAGCCTATTGTTATATTTTAAAACTTTCATATAGTTGAACTAATTGATTAAATTATTTATTTCTTTTGCTATTACAGATAAATATACTCTACTCGATGGCTTATACATTTGTTGGCGATGTTTTAAGGAAGCTCTTCTGACAAGTCCAAATACGTTGAGTTTATCTCATCAGGATACCTTTATTGGTCTCTTAGAAGTAATATGCGTGTGAGAACTCAAAACGCAGCAGATATGCGTTTGAATTCACGTCAGATTTGTTTGTTCGGACGAACGATATCTCCATGTTTTTGGGTTTTGGTTTCGTTTTCAATTATTTTATGTACTCACTCTCTTGTATAGACTCTATATGATACACTTTCTCTTCTTTTTTATATCTTCGATCGACAGTCATGAGCTTCAATGTAATTAAAGGACATAATACAAAGAGAAAAACAAAATGTTTTATTATTCAAGGTCTATTAGATGGTTATGATTTTGAGAAAAATTGAAAATAAATCTAAAAAATATTGGCTATCAGTCATTTGTTTCTTTTATTTTTGAAAAATCGTCTGTTTTGTGATAAGTTCAGAAATTGAAAAGCTTGATTTTAACTCAAGAAGAAAATAACTGACTATAAGACGTTTTAAATGAAGTTAAATTTTCTCAACATTAAATTTTATGAACTAAAGCATTGCGAGTTGAGTTCTTATAGTACATAAGAAATTTTTTTAATGGTCTTCTACCTTATCTTGTGAATAATTCTAATTGTGAAAAGATTAAATCTGTCTTTCGTGATAATAAAACACCAATATGCTCACTTGTTTCATTAGACGAGAGGTGCACAAAATATTGCCGTTAAAGAATATGGCAAATCTTAAAACTTCAAAAACAAATCATGTAGTTGATTGTTGTCCTCTTTATCTCAGTAGCAAGCAAAAGATAATAATTAACATCCTACGAACAACATGTCCATATACCGTAGGAAAGTAAAAGATACAACATACATCATTCTGTAAATGATTAGTATCTTCAATATTAAACTGAAAAATAGGAATTTTCGAGGACGGAAAGTTGAGCACTTTCTAGCTTTGATCTGGATACACCAATAGTGACCATAGTTGAACAGTTCAAGGATTTGATCGAACAAGTTCGACTTGGTATTTGATGATAATAATATCGAGATAGACAACTGGAGAAGGTGAGAAGAAAACGAATAGATATGCTGAAGAATTATACTGTTCTTCATTCATTGTTTTTTTATATTGAGTATAAAATCATGCGGACTTTACGATCTATCTTTCGAACAGATGTATTTTTTATAGCAAAGTTGACTATTAACAAAATAAAATATTATATATTTGTAAACATAATATTCGTTTAGAGCCCATTAGATTGGTCCCATATCAAGAACCGCTCGAACCCAGGTCCAGATTCAGATTCGAAAAATTTGAAATTGATGGGCTCTAGTCGTCTGAGAAATCTGTAGGATGTTCTACTCACCGTATACAAAAAAATAGAAAAAAAGTATTTCGCATCTTTGAGGCAGTTATCCAATTTAGATAAGAAAATTTCATCAAAAACATCTAAGTACAGTTCGATCGGGTGAGGATCCGAAAATTTTGGACGCAGCAGACTCTATATTCGTTTATCTATAATAGTTGAAATTGATGAGATATTTAGAAAAAATATTATAGATCTTTAGTATATACTTAGAAAATTTCAATTTAATTGCATCTACTGCATAACGCAAACTGCTTAGGACAATGCATAAGAATTTATTGTTTCTGTCAATTTTTACTAGAGAAGACGATTGCTATATATTATTGCTTTACTATTGTGCTACCCATGATTAATTGAATATCTTACTAAACATTGAAAATTATAATATTGAATGATAAAAATAAGGAAAAAATTACTCCTGTCTGCCCTCGTCTTGACTTCCATATTTTTATAATTCACCATTTTTACAATTGACGTTTCTTCTTTCAATCAAATGTCATTCTCAATCAATGTTTTCTTGTGTTGCTACTAATGAGAAATTATATTGTCTATTTATTCTTGATTTTGCTTTGGTATGAAAGAAAAAGATGGTTTATGATAATTCATATATTAGACGGATGTAATGAAGGAAATACATTAAAGTAAACGTTATTTAACCGATAGATATTTACTAGAATTCTAAATTCTTATTAAATTTATATTGAATATGTCAGACATGCAATAAAATTCAATACAGCTTTATGAATAATCTATCATTATGAATTCATCAATAAAAAACTAAACGTACTCTTTACTTTCTGTTGCATCATGCTAACCAATAAACGCTGCAATAGATGTTTTTACATGTCACTAACATGTAATAGCCCTGATTACATCTTTTCTACAGGACGCATGTGACTCATGATAGACCACAAATCGCAGATTGTTGCTAAATATTGTTTGAAATGACCATCTTTTTTGTCAATCTTAAGGGAAAAACTATTGTCTGAAGAACTTCATACAAATTATTTATTTTTTACTAATGATGTTATTTTATCATATTTTGCGTTAACAAAGATGAGGAAATAAAATTTTAATTGATGCCTATTAATGTCCTTCAATGATAGCGTATATAGAATGAATTAAAAAATTAAGTACTAAAAAGTCCGAAAAAACGTTTATGAATTCAATCATATATGATATCAATCGCGAGTGACTTCAAATAAGAAAGAAAATTGACAGTCAATTTTTAAAATACAATCTGTAATAAAACACTAAAAACAAGTATTGTCTGACGTATGTGATAACCTGGCTAGAGGCCAAGATGCTATCGATAGTAATGGCCACTTTACAAAACGAATCGTTTATTCTTTACAAATAATAGAAAAAAAAATTTTAATCATCATGAATCGATTCGATTTACCTGATAATTTACCTGTACCACTTGATGATGGTCAATGTGCACATTTAAAAGTTGGCATGAAATTTCCTGTTGATGTATTGATTCGTTTACCTACAACTAGTCAACATCCTGTCGATATTGTTAGTCAACCACGTACTATAATTTATTTTTATCCTCGAACTGGTAAACCAGATCAAAAACTCCCCGATGGTTGGAATGATATTCCGGGTGCTCGAGGATGTACACCAGAATCATGTGGATTTCGTGATCATTATCAAGAATTACAATCATTAGGTGCCAATGTTTATGGATGTAGTACACAAACAACTGAATATCAGCAAGAAGTTGTCGAACGATTACATTTACCATTTGATTTATTAAGTGATTCAAAATTAGAATTATTAAATCATTTACATTTGCCACATTTTATCCTATCGGAGTTAAATAATATTCCATTAATTAAGCGTTTAACAATTATAATTAAACATGATACTATTGAACATGTTTTCTATCCAATATTTCCTCCTGATAATCATTCACAAGAAGTTATCGAATGGTTAAAACAAAATCCAATAAAATAATATGTTTCTTATGTCTTATGCACTTTTACTTTTATTTTTCCCTCATAAATACTTCTATTTTCTAGGTTGATTATTAATTGATGGTGTTTTCGTTTTTTTATTATCATTAAGTGAAGCAGATTTCTTGTCGACATTTCAATAAAAAAAATAGAGTTTCAGTTGAACTGCACTTTTCGATTACGAATAAGTTTCACAAAAAGAAACAATAATTGTTTTTTTATAAGATATTACTTAAGTATTATTCAGATGTAGAGAGTCTTTGTTTAAGTTCGTATCAATGATTGATAATAAAATCAATAATGCTGTTGCGACAAATTTTACACAAAGAGAACAGGATTTATGTGATATCAATTACATGAAAAAGTTGAGAAGTCCAAAAAACAAAAGAGTTTCTCATATATCAACAACTATTTGAAATGTTGAGAAAAACTGTTTATGCTCCAATAAAAATTAATTATTTTTATATCTAAAATCTGTTATATATTAAATTCAATATTCCGTGTTCGACTATATTTCAATTAAGTTATAAACCAATAATTAATTGAAAGTGTAACAAGGAATACAACTATATTATCATGAGAAACATTTATATTTTAACATGAAATAATCTGTGTGACCTGTTTCTTTTGTCATACTTTGTAGTGAAAAAAAGGTGAGAATTTCAATAAATTCAAAATAATTGGAAGTGATCGCGTTTATTCTCAACATAATTTTATTGTATTAATTGTTGTAATATCTTAGGGGTTGGTATGCACTTCGTCCAAACCCAATGATATAACTTTCGGCGGCAATCTGAAATGATACATGTAGAATTAGAAACGTTCTAATATGATGTGCTTTGATATTAATTGCACTTGATAGTCGCCGTGAGTGAGATAATTTAGTAACTTAACCTACTAGCATTAGTTCGTAATTCAAGTTCGTGACTAAGTTAACAACGCAATCAAATGTCCAATATAAAATCATCCTATTCTCTCATTTTATCTTTTGATACCGATAAAAAATTCACTACACAAAAAAAAAGTTTTACGTAAAAGTTTTGTTGAAAAAACCAAAATAATTACAAAGTCATTAAAAAAGCTGTTGGCGCAATCTCTGCAAAATTAAAATATGAAAAACAATTGACCTGTTAGTATTGTAAAAAAGAGAATTAATCGATATTTATTTCGGTTTATGAATTACTATCTACTATTAAAGCATGTCGATGACATAAGATATTGATCGCAATATATTGCAGTGAATGTGAAAGAAAAGTAAAGAACAATCATCATATTAATCTGGCATTGGACTTTAGTCTTGTGGTCATGTCTGTGATTGTTGAGGAATCCAAATGTCTATCGCTATACTTCAGTACTCATTAAAATTGGTATTAGCTTGCTTACGAAGGAACCTTTCCAGAGATCAAATCGCTTTTCGATCGAGATGATGCTCATTTAATGAGTGCTAGAGTGTAATAGAAAAGTCTAGCATCGTTTGTTTTTTCAGACCTTTGTTCTTAGAATATCGAAATTTTATTGGGCTTTTCAACAAAAAGTTGTGATCCCACTGAGATTACGCAAGGGTTTCGACTGCAAACTTTACATGAACAAAGTTCTTAATTAGATTATTTCATTAGGAAAGTTGTAACTTTTCTATTATCCGTTTCAAAATATTATGCGCTCCACTGGTTTTGCAATAATGCAACTACGATAAGAGTTATAGAGCTGCGATTTTCATCAGTAGATAAAGAAGATGCGGGGACGTTTTTTTATCCAATATTGTATAAGACGAAATCGCTTTAAAATCAATCATTTCTACAAACTATTGCAAAAAAAAGCATGAAAATTGGCTGTTATTTCCGTGAAATTTTAACAAAAAGTAAGACAAATTCATATTTTTCAAGGGAGCAAATAAACAATTTGTTTTCCTTAGCATTACGATGTTGTAAGATAATTATTCGACTTATACCTTAAACTATAGAACTGAAGTTCCTCTATCTAAATCACATATCAAAACCAAAATTTCACTGAAATGATAGCCAGTTTTCAAGCATTTTTTGCAATAGTTTGCAGAAATGATTGATTTTAAAACGATTTCGTTTTATACAACACTAGATAAGAAAACATCCCTGTATCTTCCCTCTATCTACTGATGAAAACCATAGCTCTCTAGCTCTTATCGTAGTTGAGTTATTGGAAAGACAGTGTAGTGTATTATATTTTGAAACAGACAATAGTATCTCCTATCTTGTAATATTCAATATTCAAAATTCATCTCCAAAAAGAAAATACTAGAAGAGATAAAATTTACAAAATCAAATAATCTTTTTAAGAGCTTTGTTCGTGCAAGTTCGGAAGTCAAAAGTAGATTTCCCAGGTAATCTGAGGGACATCACTACTTTTTCTTGAAAAACCGACTAAAATTTCAATATTTTGAGCATGAAAGACTCGAAAAATCAAACCATTATAGACTTTTCCATTATTCCTTAGTACTCATCAATTGAACATTGTCTCCATCAAAAAGCAAGCTGAGATCTGAAGAGGTTCTTCGTTAGCTGCTAACACAAGTCTAGAACACAGACTAGTTACTAATAAAAATATTCGTGAAAATAAACAGTCGATAGAGTTTATAGCAAGAGATTCGACAGTAAGATATATAATGGGTGTGGGTAACGAGAATACGCACCCATACTCTATTATATTTCAAATATATGACCTGATGTATAGTATCGATTCCCTCTTCTAATGATCATATAGCCAGTAATCATGTATAAAAGTCTTTCTTCATTTTCGTCTATTATTTAAGTCATTCACATTGAAGATCATCTTCAGTTAACTTACAAACACGAAAATAATAATTTGAACCTTCAATTAATTCTCTTATAGAAATATTATATTGTTTTGATGAAGCTTCTTTTTATTGGAATCCAATTAACTTGAAGAACATGACGACATTCAATAAAATAAGATGAAATATTATTTCAGTCAATTGATAATGATGGTCTCAATGATAAAGATATTGATGTTGAATCTATCTTTATTGTTTTTAATAGTTTATCAGGTACAGATAGTGATTCTAGAATCAAATAAATATCATTTAAACTTATTTATAATCGAAAAGAAAAAACTCTATCAAATTGATTATTTGTTCGCAAAAACATTTAGAATTGCTGGTGTCGTTTCAATTGAACTTTCCCCCTTT